CCACCTGCCTCTATGGTCTCTTATTCATCACCCTCCAGAAGGATGAGACTTTCATTTTCACACTGCATCCAAACGTGGACGAGGATGGTAATTACTTCTCTGGGTTATCGTATCCCAGTTGGACCAGGCTGGCAGGAGTCAGGAATGGGAATGTGTGCAAAGCACAAACCCCTGGCGGGGGTGCAGTCTATGCGATAGGATCTCAGGACGCAGAAGACCCCGGGGCGGGGAGCCTGGGGAGGGGGTAACAGAACGGGGAGGAGAAGCTGCACACACAGGTGGCGCATGGATAGTAACGGGGCACACTGGATGGCCCACTGATGCACAAAGACGATGCTGGAAAGACTGCATGAGACAAGACAGATGTCTGCCTCATGGGCACTGCCTCCCGAGTCCAGATGTTAGACGGCCACAGGCCACAAACAGTTCAAGTGGATCTTGAGGAAAGAGGAGGGAGTCCACCACATAGGGCTGCCAGGCTCCCTGGAGTCCCTGCTCCCTCTCATTCACACACTGGGACTTCCAAGTGACCAGCAGGGAACAGCTCCTGGGGGGCTACCCACGGGAAACCCCAGCTCAAGAGATCCCTGCAAAGGAGTCAGAGACTAAAAATAACACTACTGAGCAGACAGGGAAGGGAAGGCTGGCACCTCTCCCCTTCCTGGGGCTGCACCTCAGTCCCATCCAGAGGTGACTCTAAATAAAGCTGATAAAAATACGTTTCGTCCAAGGATAGAGTGGCCATTGAGAGTCTCACCAAACTGACTGACGGGGGCTGGCTGGATGAGACCCACCCACGAGGGAGGTGCTATCTGCTTACTCAGTCTACCAGCTTACGCTCATCCAAAGACACTCTCATGGAAACACCCGGGAATAATGTCTGACCAAACTCGTGGGCACTTAATGGTCCAGTCAAGTTGACCCATACAATTAACCACCACAAGACCAAGGGAGAGACTCAGGGTCACACCTGCTCATGCAAAGGCACCTGGCTCATGACAAAGGTAACATACAGAGAGAGGGAAGTGATTTCCCACCAGTGGTGCTGGGCATGGGGCGGCCACAGAGACACAGTGTGAAAGCCAACTCTGACCTTTGCCCACACAAGCACAGCTGCAGGGGGACCCCAGAACTGCACAAGGAAAGTAACACGGCTGGGGAGCACAGCATTCCCCAGGTAAGATGTAAAATGCTAACCTCAAAGGGAAATGTCTCCTTTAAAAGACAGTAAAGGAACATAAACACAGGTCACAGGCTGGAACCAAGAGCTGCCACACTGAGGTTTCTTCAAAAGTACCTATGTCCAACACACATAAAGAGTTTCTACAAACCAACAAGGAAAGAAATTTTAGTAGGAAAACAATTAAGAAACTTGAACAGGGATTTAACAAAATCAAAATTCAACTTCAGGAAAAACAAACAAAAACCACACTAGACACCAGCACATGCCCATCAGGGTAACTGGAGGCTTGGAAGTCTGACAGGATCAGGTGACAGGGAACCCTCACGTGTGGACCATAGAAATTTAAGCTGCTGCCACTACCATGGGGAAAATCAGCATGAGCCAGTAAAATTAGGATCCTACCCTGCCATTTCTCCTGTCTATAAAACACGCTTCAGACACTAGATTGACCCTAATTCCCTCGAGCTGGTAACAAATTCCCATCAAAGTTAGAGTGGATAAAATGTGCAAATCACATACCCAACATCATGGATGAATCTTGGCAACACAGTATTAAACAAAATAAATCATACACAGAAGAATGCACACTGTATTCCTCCATTTCTATCAAAAACAAAAAAACAAAACAAGCCAGACTGCATAATTCAGTGATAGAAACATAAAGCAATACAAATAAAAGTCAGGTTAGTGGTCACTACTGGGGTGAAACAAGGGGAACACCAGCAGGAAGGAAGCAGGAAGCATCTAGAAGCCAGGCAAAATGGACCCCAGCTCCTAGTCTGCAACAATTTGTTAAGCTTGACATTTACGCTTTGTGCATTTTTCTGCATGTTTGTTAGATTTTGTAATTTTAAAGGTTTTAAAAGAAGGAGAAAACAGAAGAACTGAAGCCAGCTGGATGCTGTTCAGCACTGCCTGCTGGGAGGACTGTGGACAGAGCACAGCCCTGGGCCCTCTGCTCATGGCACCCTACTGTGTCTTCTCTCCAGGTGAGAAACAGCAGTGGGTCGGACCCTCTTACCCAGGGAGGAAGGCTTCCCTAAGTTTGGCAGGCCTGGGAAACTCCGCTCTGATTGTAAGAGAGCAGACTCTTTCAGGTTCAATGCTCTGTCCTTAGCTTCTATCACAGTCCCTGGCAAACAGTCTATATTCAAAAGTATGTGTTCAGTGCATTCACCAGTAAAATCAAGTTGTTCAAGAATCAAATATTCTGAAAGGTGTGAGAGGGTCCTGTGACCTTAACCAGTCTCTGTAACAATAGCCACTCAGATCATGTTATTTGATGGCACATTCTGAGTATCAGTGAAACTCCAAAAAGCTTATCAATGTATTTCCAGAGTAACATGTGGCAACATATATCCAAGCCTCAAACAGAATTTTTATTTCTTCTCTGTGTTAAAAAGATAACCCAGGATAACATTTTCAAATTTAAGAATTAATCTAGGGCAGGTGCAGTGGCACACACCTGTAATCCCAATGGCACAAGAGAGAGGCAGGAGGATTGAAAGTTCAAAGCCAGCCTCAGCAACTTAGGGAGGCCCTAAGCAACTCAGGGAGACTCTGTCTCTAAATAAAATAAGAAAGCAGGGTGGTTTGTGGGGGGATGTGGCTCTGTAGTTAAGTGGACCCTGGGTTTAATCCCTGGTACCAAAAACAAAAAAAGAACTGGTCTGGATTGTTGTAGGATTTTATAATGTAATAGAAGATCTATAGGAGCATGTACTTTACTTCTGCTGACCCTGCTGGAAGCACTGGGCAGGAATGGGAACTGCTAGAGGCAGGCGCTCCTGCTTCCCTCCTGTCCCTGGACTCGTCCTCGGGGCTCCAAGGCTCCTCTCTGGAGCCCCTCTTCCTGTCTGGGTGGTCTGGTCTCACCCAAGGCTCCCACACCATGTTCCCCATTCACCGTTCACTTCCAGCCCTTCATCAGCAGTCGCTCCCTCTCCGAGAAGGGAACTCGCAACTCTCCTCTGCACATCTCCACCCACACCTCAGGACAGCCGCTCTTAAGCTGCCAGGATCTCTTTTGGATTTTACTTGTTTAATAAAACAGGGTATAAATATGGTCTCCCTTCTCTATCTCTCTCAGGCACTCATGATTTCTCACCTTTAACTGTGCAATAGCCCCCAAAGTGCTACCTTCTTGCTCTTCCAAAGAGCTGTTAATACCCAAACCTCACAGCTGGCCATATGGTTTCTCTGTTGAAATACTCTCATGGTCTCCCTACCGCCCTTAAGATAAAATAAATATTCCTTACAGTGGTACCTGAGGTCCATCTCCCCAGCTCCATGCTTCATTGCACCCCACAGATCCCCACCCCAGGCAGCACTATGCACCTCCATCTAGTACCGTACCACCCCACCCCCGCCACAGGCTTTGTCTCCAAGCCCCCATGTCTGGGCAAGTGCTCCCTGTGTCACCATCACACTTATACACAGCTTTACCAATCACCCAACCACACTGTCCTGGCATGACCTGGCCACCAGTCAGTGAGTTCCCTAAGGTGGCAATTAAGTGTTTTAATTTTCTCTCCCTTTGCTACACTTAATTTGAGTGCCTATTAATAAGTAGACAAGTACTAAACAAGGAAAAAACAAAGATAAACTTGAAGTTAGAAATTTTTAAATAGGCTAATAAAGTCATGAGCTAAATGAAGAAAGTTCACAGAGTCACCTTGAAAACTCTTTATTAGATGGCCTGGTTTAGAATTTAAGGAGTCAGCCCATGCAAAATTACATATTAAATAGTCTCTAAAATATCAGACACCAATAAAAGCAACAATTAAAAAAGTAAAGCCTAAACACATGTTCTATTTTCATAGCCTTGTTTTACATCTTCCTTTTTCTCTAATTTCACTTATCAGTTCTCCTTTCCTCAGCCATTTACACAAATTCCAATTAGATTTTGTATTTGTTTCTTGCCCAATCCCTTTCACCTCTAGTGTTCCTTCTATTCTTCTTTGAATCCAATAGAGAAATACAAATACTGTTTTTGTCATCTCTAGTAGCAATTTTGTCTGAAACGAAGGCATCGTCAAGAGCAGTGAAGGTAATGACATCACCAGTCAGGCTGATAGATGAAACCGGATGATTAGGCCGGCTGGCTGATTTCGTGATGCCTAGCAGCTAATCTGAACCACATGCACACTGAGCGGAGTCCTCGGCTAAGGCAGCAGGACAATACTGGTGGTGGGGCAGCCATGGCCAGCCTACCACATCCCCACTTGTGCCTGCCCCTCAGAGGAAGCAGACACAGACTGGGAGCCCAGGAAGCTGCTCTAAGGGACCAGTGTGCAGGCTGTGGCTTTGACAGTGTGAGCTGCAGTGGTAGAAGTACCAGGGACAGGTCGCTAAGCTTACTGGCACAGGTACCAACTTATGGGAGCCAAAATAGAGACTGCTGCTCCCTGGACACTTCTGAATTTTAGATATGCTCCAGAAGAGGTTCTGAGACAGGCAGAGAAGTTGCTGAAGTGGAAATCCGTAAGGATTTAAACTAGGTGGGTAGGAGAAATCATTTTTTGAAAGACAGTAATTGCTAGAAAAAATAGTTCTTTTAGTTATCTAAAAGTGGCATTTCAAGACCACTCAGCCATCAGGTCTTGTCAGCATGGGGAGGTTCATGCTGACCATGAGCCAATGTCTTCTGGAATTCATAATCGAGCAAAAACAGTGTCCACAGTGAAGGGTCCGCTTGAAACAGCATCTAAAACATCACAGAACTGAATACCCCTCCCCAAAAAAGAAAGAATAAAAATAAGGCTGTTCCTTTAAGTAATCTTATTTCAAAATAGTGCAGAATGAGATTTCCTCTTACCCGAACCCAGGAGTTAAGTCTTGTTTCTGCAGAACTCTGTGGTTCTTTGTTAATCAGACAACATAAGCACCATATTACAATTTTCTGGCTTTCATCTGTAGGAAAGAAAACTAAAATTAATGGTTTTATCAAATTGGGGAAAGAAGATAAACTGTTAAAAAAAAAAACCCCTTTTAAAACATCATTTAGAAAAAATCTCAAAACTACTAAGTTCACAGAGAAGGCCTCCAAGAGCTTGTGTGAAGCCTCTCCTGTGGGCTTCCTCTTCTTGTGGGCTCGGCTCACTTGGGCTTAGCTCTTGTGTGGTCAGTCCCTTTCTGTAACAGCAGCAATTTTTAAAGCCAAACAGGGCCTTAAAATATGGAAAGAACTGGAAGAAGTGGGCTTTTCTTGAGAGCGGCTTTTCATTTCATATTTCAAACCACTAGTAATTTCAGCCTTTTTAAGGCAACATAACTGCCATAGGCAAGCCAGTCAGCATTTCCAATTTAATCTCTTAATTTTCTAATTTGCCAAAATATCCTTGCTTGTTAAAAACAAATTCAACATAAAGGATTGTTTTAAAACATATTCATTTTAGTACCAAATGATTTGGAGAAAATAGAAGCTTGTTACATGCTCCTTATTCTTTAAAATTTAAAACTTCACTGAAAATGTGATGGAAATCCTGAACCTTGAAATCATACACTTGGCAGGAACCTCTATCTGATGAGCCACTTTCTTTTTCTGTGGGTGGTGATAGAGTCCATTCCAGGTAGAGATTCTATAACTCAATTAAGAAACAAAAAAGAGGGGCTGGGGTTGTAGCTCAGCAATAGAGCGCTCGCCCAGCATGTACGAGGTGCTGGGTCCGATCCTCAGCACCACATAAAAATAAATAAAAATTTTTAAAAATAAAAAAAAATGAGGCCAAAAAACTGAAGGTATCAGCACCAGAGCTGGAGAAGAGTAATGGGGGACTTCACAAAGAGGCCGCGGGCACCTGGGGTCAGTTCTGGGCAGGATCCCCTGCCACTCTCCTTCCCATTTTCTGCAGTCCAATAAACAGCCTTCTAAAGGCTTCCTTCGTAAAGAAAAGAACACAATACTGACCGCAGGACGCCACTCAGTATTGTCACCACTAAGCAAAGATTGCTAATGGTAAATTTACCACCCACCCCCATCAACATTCATAGCTATGCCTGCCCAGTAACCAGTTCTCTGAACAAACAGGTGAGGGGCTATTCTGAGGGCCGTCTGTCCTTCCCCTGGCTTTCAGGAGCCCACATGAAGCACTAGTAGGCACTGGCTGGCCTGGGATCCCTTCACTTCAAGAGTCATGTGATTTAACCTCGGCAGATGCTAGGCTCCTTCAGCTTCGTGTAGCAAGTGTGACAGACCCGTCCAGTGAGATGCAGACTCAGCAGCAGCCAGGGCCAGAGCAAAGCAATGTGTTGAGCAGCATCTCCAAAGCCAGGTAGAAGCAGAGGGAGAGAGACATTGAGAAAGAGAGAGAAAGGGAATAAAAAAGACAAGGAAAACACAAGAGACAAGCCATTTGGAAATGAAGACATCAAAAGAAGAGAGAGAAGACAATAATGGAGAGAGGGAGAACCCTTTTATTCAGTGATGTCCTCTGCACACAACTCCCGAGTTCTGCGTGGCTGTCCAGCTCTGCCCTGGTGTCCAAGCAGAGCAGCAGCCCTGGCCCTCCCTGTTCACCAGCCTCCCCCTCCCAACCTCTGCAACTGAGCAGCTTAAACAACAGGTGCTTACTGTCTCAACAGAAAGAGCTGGCGTCACAGTCTTAACCTCTAGAAATGAAACATGAAGAATTTAGTTTTCATCTGGAATTCCAGTTCAAGATATAAAACATCAGGTGGTAAATGTATGCTGCATATTTCTTTTCCCACCACTCAATTTTTGAATCTCAGTTTGCACTAAGATCTACTGAAATGAGCCTCGGGAAGTCTCCCTTCTCTTATAAGTGCCCCAAAGGTGCTCCAGCCCTCAGCTCAGGCCTCTGGGGAGGAGCCTGCCCCGCGAGCGCCACTGCCTGGAGCGAGTGCTCGTAGCTTCAGCAAGGACAGCAGTGGCTTGTGTCTGTGAATCACCACAGCGGAGAAAGCTGGGAGCTGGTTAGCTGTGCATTTCAGTGCACCCACTCTGGGCAAAGAGAGGCAGGCCCACATGCTGGATGGGAGTTTCCATGGCTCTTCTTGTTTTTGTTTTTAAGAAAGAGAAAAATTAAAAATTATACAGCTGTTGAACTGAGCGTGCAGAACCACTCAACACATGGGAACACCGTCTTTTGAGTTTAGGCTCCATAAACTAACTCACTCTCTCTCTCTCTCTTCCTTGTTCCCAGCCCTAGCCTCTGGGCCTCACCACCTCACCTCTCCCTCTTCTATCCCAGCCTCCTGTACCTCCTCTCTTACCTCCCCTGAGTTTATTTTTATAAGGAAAATTAAACCAATTTTCTTCTAAAAAGCAATTATTGGACCCACAAAGCATCTCACGGGTGCTGGTAACTAGAAGTCATTCAACAGCTTCTTTTCCTTTCTCCTGCCATCAGCCTCACTCAGTGTTTTTCAAATATCTGGTCATGCTACACAAGGGGTTGTAAAATCAGTTTGGGGTCATTAATACCATTTTTTAAACAGCACAGTGAAAACAGATTCCTCATAAAAATGAGCATTCCTTCATGAATTGTCTGATCCCATGAGTGAGCATGTATGCATGAAGCACATATGTGCACGACTGTACATACACATGCATACAAATGCCTTTCTGGTCAAAGATGTTTGAGAGACACTGGCCTCGCTACAATACACAGACTCAGAGCAGGGAAGTGTGGCCTTGTGGGCAAACAGCGCTGGCTCACTCATCTGCCAAGGCGGATCAAGAGCCAGAAGGAGGTGATGGGAGGAAGGAGAGGAAGAGGCCTGAGGAGGCAGAATAGAAGAGGGTGGGGCGGAGTCAGGGAGGCCGAGGGGCGGAGTGTGCAGTGACCCATAAGTGTGTGCTCACAGGGCCACATGCAGAAGTGTCCCCTTCCCACTAGTGCCTGGCTCTTCTAAGCACTTATGACAGGATAGACATGGGAAATTTTTCAATTCTTTAAAATATCAAAGGGGAATATTCATTTTATCTTTGGTTCTAATATTGTTACATAATTCAATTAATCTTTTATTTTAAAAATCTGAAAAGCAAATATTACGTGAGCTAATAATACAGTCAGCCCAAGGCCAAGTGCTCCTTCAGGTGCCTGCTCTGCCCCGTGCCAGGCCTTAGGAGGAAAAAGAGGAGGGCACAGCTCCTGCTCTCAGAGGCATTCAGTCTTCCCGGGCATCCAACAGTGAGTAAGTGTGACACCAGAGGAAGATGCTGGGGGCTGTGGGGACACTGAGGTCCCTGCCTCACCCCAGGAATGTTGTTTCAAAGGAGACCTAAGGAGACAAGGGAGAAGAGAAGCACAAGGAACTCATCCCAGGAGTTGCAGGCCCTGACCCCAAGGCCCCAGGCACCGTCAGTGACAGGACCTGACCACAAAGTCCGTGACTTGTTGAGGAAGGCGAAACAGGAGATGAGGCAGGAAGCCAGAGAAGGAATACCCCCCTACATGTACTCAACTTTCTCAAACTGCATAAAACCAGAATGTCACCCCTACGTAAGAGCAAAGCCATGGCTAGATTCAGACTCTGAAAGATGATTTTACAACATGGGAAACCGTTTGTGAGTTAACAGACTATCTTGAGAAACAAAGACATTAAGTTGGTATTTTAGTCACTTTATGTGGAGTTAAAGATGAGGTGCTGGGGGATGGGAACGGGAAAGACAGTGGAATGCATCCAACATCAGACTCCTATGTTCATATATGAATACACGACCAGTGAAACTCCACATCATGTACAACCACAAGAATGGGAAGTTAAACTCCACATATGCATAATATGTCAAAATACTGACATGTACACATAAAAACAACAAATAATTTTTTAAAAAAAGATGAAGTGATTACGGACAAAAATTATTGTTTCAATCACCTGTAAGTTTCTGCCCTCTGTTTCAAGGAGGCCTGTTTTCTATGGATCTGCAGGAGGGGGGGGTGTGTGCACGTGTGCATGCATGTCTTCTACACAAACACACACACACACACACACACACACACACACACACAATAAAGGACATCTTTCTGCAATACAGCAATAAATACACTTGATACATGTTCTGTGAAAACCAGAGAAAGATTTATAATTAAGTCTCTGTATGTTGTTCAAGCAGAAATTAAAACTGTCATTACAAGTTTGTGTTTTGAGAAGACACAGCTTGGATCCTTACCATATGCTAAGATAAAAGGATTCTGGCAGGTTTTTGCTAACAGTTGACGGATTGTGGGGAATCTTTCCATGATCACAGTAGGATCCTGAAAAGAAAAATAAGCTTTGGTCAGCAAAAGGGCACCACAAAGGGAAGCGGCCTGGATGCTCCTTACTTGGTGTATTTTAGAAAAGCAGACAAAAAAGAATTAGAGAAAATCTTCAGGAAAGAATTCACGAACAGTCTAACAAGCAGTCAAGCATCCTACTAAACCGTAGTTAGGAAAGGCTAGTCTGTCTGAAAATAACTTAGGCTGAATAAGAGCTTTATTTTATTTTATTTCCTAGAATTTGAGGCCAGGGGTGCTCTACCACTGAGCTACATCCCCAGCCCTTTTTAGTTTGTATTTTGAGATAGGGTCTTGCTAAGTGGCTGAGGCTGGCCTTGAACTTGTGATCCTCCTACCTCAGTCTCCCAAGTCCCTGGGATTACAGGCGTGTGCCACTATGCCTGGCTTGAGTAAGAGTTTTAAGAACTATTGGTGATTAATAACTTTACAATCCTATATCTTCATATTGCTTTTTAACTCTAGCAAAACAAGGAACGTTATTAATCCAGCTCCAGTGAGGCTATTTCAAAGAATGTTTAAAGGAACAAGAACTCCGGAATTTGTAAAAAAAAAAAAAAAAAAAAAAAGAAAGAAAGAAAGAAAAAAAGAGAGAAAGAAAGAAAGCAGCCAGAGCCCAAAGATACCCATCTCTGCTCATTAAAATTTTGACTGCTGTATGCTAAATGACATCATACTTAATCTAAAACAACCTAAACCTTGAGACAAACCAAATAGAAAACAGCCTAAGATTAAAAAATACAAGTGCTGTTGTACAACTGGCCCTTTTCCCACTTCTTTACCTTTCATGAAAGTTCAAAAATAAGACCCAACTGAGATAATGTGCAGGTAAGCTGAAACGATAAGCATTTCCTGCTGCTGCAGCAGTAAATTCCTCACGTGTGTCTCAGCACCAAGGCTGGCCCAGACTTTCTGGGACCACGTTAAGGTCAAGTTACATACATCTGACTACACAGAGTATCTGCCCTTCTGATTTCCAAAGACACGTGAACTCATATTATCAACAGAATTATTCTTCAAATTTCCTACTTGCTTCTTTGATTAATGGCAGGGAAGCATAACATGAGAACATATGTATTAGCAAATGATTTGCCTTTTCTTTTTGAAATTTACAAGTACATACAAAACAAATGATATATTTATAAAAAAAAAAAGCATGTGCTGTCGTAAAATATCTATTAAGTCAAAAAATATTTTGGCAAAAAGAAAACTTAACATTTCACAAATGATTACTAACAGTAGTGAAGATCTTCTCTAATATTTATTAGAAAAGATCACTTGAAATTTTAGAAGAGACCCTACTATCTTAACAGTCAGGTCCGAGTATTAGAACAGATCTTAGTACCTCTCAGGACAGTCCACCTGAGAACAGGGCTGAGGAAAGGGTAAGCACTTCAGCGAACTCTTCAAGATGTGAAGGGCACAAAGGCTTTGAAAAAAATCCATTTATTACTTGAAAACAGCATCAGAGTCTTATTTATTGAATAGCCTTTTTGGCAATACATGGGTCCCCATGTTCATAATAGCACAATTTACAATAGCCAAACTCTGGAACCAGCCTAGGTGTCTGTCAACAGATGGATGGACAAAGAACATGTGGTAGAGATGCACAATGGAGTTTTATTCAACCACAAAGAAAAATGAAATTATGTCATTTGCAGGAAAATGGATGAAACTTGAGAACATTATGTTAAGTGAAATAAGCCAAGCTCATATGGTCAAGGGTTGTATATTTTCTCTCATATGTGGAAGCTAGCGAGGAAAAAGGAAAAGAAAGGTGGTGGGTGGGGCCTCATGAAAATCGAAGGGAGATGAGTAGAGCAGAAAGCAACCAGGGAGACGGAGGAGGGGAGAGAAATGCTGGGGAATGATACTGGCCAAGTTATACAGTGAGCATAGACAAACACATAACACCACACCCACCATATATACAACTACAGTGTACCAGTAAAAATATTGAGAATAAATAAAAGTAACCGGCATGGGCTTGGGGTGTAGCTCAGGGGTACAGTGTTTACTTGGGTTCTATCCCCAGCGTCACACACACACAAAAAAAATAAAAATAAAAATTTAAAATATGTACACACAGGCATAAAGTAAAAAAGAAAACATATATACGAAAAAATAAAAACTTTCTTGGCCAGAAAGTCTCATGACAATACAGCTACCAAGAAGAAAAGACAAACATAAAAATAAATCAGAGAAGGAAACCGGCTCTGTACCATAGGAAACTCATCTTTCTAATCCTTAAGTGCACGAGGTCAGTAGAGTCTCTAACCCTGCACAGCACTGTGGCCTGGTGGCATCTGGTGGAGTCCCTAATGTCATAAAACAATTTCCTATTTTGGTCCGCTACTCACCGCCTCTTTCAGGGCTTCATATATCTGTCTCAGGAACTCCTGGAACCGGGGAAGGTGAAGACAGGTGTCCTGCTGGGTCTCCAGAGTGCAGGCCTGGTTCCACCCAGAGAGCTTCTGCAGCCAGAACTGACAGTCAGATGCCAGGTCTCCATACCCCTGGGCCATGTCAGAGAGAGGGATCGGACGTCGCTCCACAGCAGCCTGACAGCACTGAAGGGACTGAGCACACGTGGGATCTGTAAGAAAGGGTGCAAGGACATACTCAGCCTCTCTCAGGAGTGCCTTCATGATCCACCCATGGGGAAGGGGACTCCAGAGACTGAAACTGCCTGCCTTCAATGCTGGAGTCATCTCTGAATCCCTCAGAAATGTGTCACCCAGCTGTGGCCCTGATTCTTACCATCTGAACTTTTTATCATGAACAGTATCATTAGATTAGAAGTCATTATAGTTCCCATAGGCACGTGCTAATTATGTATAAAAAGCACAGCTGATAATACTTTAAATCTTCTTTTTAAGATTGGGCTATTTTTAAATGTTCTGAATATGAAGTTCCTTTGAGAATTTTAATGTAATGGGAAATCAAAAACATCTATGGGTATTTAATAGTAGTCGGTGCCTAAGAAATGTTTTTGAAATTCTTATGTTTTGTATGCATTTCTGGCTTCTCATTTAGGTGTGAAATAAATCTCTATGTATTACCAACTAACAGATTTTCTTCCCAGTTTCTCTATTTCTTAGAAAACATAAAAGACTCCATTCCACTGTATCAATTTAAACAATCTGCTTAACTGAAATATGTTTCACACACGTGCTCTCAATTCATTCACAAGAAGGAGCCATAGTTTAATAAAATGTAATAAATTCCACTTAGTAAGCCGGTATACTTGCCTGGGTAGAGAATGAATTGGAGAAGGACAAAAGGAAGCTGTGACACTCCAGGAAAGACACAAGGCTGAAATGGTGGTGGCAGTGCCATGTGGCATGCTGTTCTGCTCATGACCCCTCTCCCAAAGCTTCCAGTGTTGGAAAATATAGTCTCCTGAGTCTGCTTTCCTACCCCTCAAGTTCAGATTAGAAAGCACAGGGGATCTGCAGGGACCACATGCTACGGGGGAGCTGGGTCAGTGGACTCCAGGGCCCCCACCCAGCCAGTGTCTCCTCATGGGAAGCAGGGCAGCCAGAAGGGAGGCTCCTTCCACAGGTGCAGCTTTCACAGACTCTGCTCTTCCTGGGGCAGAGGTGACACTCAGGAATCTCATTTCAAGAGAGACGTCACTGGGAGTGGTAAATCAATTGAGTTTAAATCCTTGGCAGCAATAATTAACAGATAAAATGCTCCTAGTCAAACACCAAAAACATCAACAAAGGAGGTTCCCATTACTAAACAGGAAAAGGAGTCAAAGTTTAAGAAGATTGCACAATTTGGCTTCAGTGCAAAAACAAACAAACAACTAGACCAAGAAGATGAAAATGGCACTTAACAGTTTATGAATTTTGAGAAGGAACAGATGAAAAAGAAAACACACAAAAAGTGTTTAACAATGGAGGAACATGCCTCCTGTCAAAATGGCCCTCATCAGGCAGACATCCAGGCACTGGCCCCGGCTCCTCCCAGCTCTCATGGTCCCACTCCTCCAGGCCATCACGACACCTGTCAGTTCGACCTCTGAGTAAAGCCACGTGCTCTGCCTTGACTGCACCCTTCCTTACATGGCACTGCCACCACCATTCCAGCCTTGTGGCTTTCCTGGAGTGTCACAGCTTCCTTTTGAATTCTCCAATTCATTCTCCACACAGGCAAAAGCAATTCTTGCAAGTGTGTTACTGCACTGGCACCTGTTCTGCTCATGACCCCTCTCCCACAGCTTCATGGAAAGAGGTCCAACTCCGTGTTAGGAAAGCACAAACTCCTTACCAGAGGCTCAAGGTCCTGCAAAAGGAGGCTCCGTACCCCTCAGCCTCCCTTGCTTCCTCTCCCAGCTCACCAGTCCCCCACCCTCACTAGCACACCAAGCCTCCCCACGAGCAGGCCCTTCCACAGCGGCCTGTACAGCTCAGCAGGCTGGCAACAAATCTTCTCTCACAAGTTGCCTTCCTAAAGTTTGAAAATGATATGCCTGGGTGTCGCTGTCCTGGTACTTATCCTGCTCAGATTCATGAACTTCCTGGATCTGTGATTTGGTGTCTAACCTCAAGTGGACAAATTCGTAGTCCTCACTGTTTCAAACACTTCTCCGCCGTGGACTCCCATCACACGCGCGCCACGTCTTTTGCTGCTGTCCCTCGTTCTTGGATGTGCTGTGGGTGGTTCTGGTTTCGTTTCACCTATCTTCGTTCTTTTTACTTTTCAGTTCGGTTTCTGTTGAGATATCACCCAGCTCACAGACTCTGTCCTCAGTCATGTCCCATCCACTAAGGAGCCCAATGAAGACTTCTTCATCTTGACCCTCAGCGTTTCCGTTTGGTTCTTTCTTCGAGCACCATTTCTGTGGCCACCTGACCATGTGTTCTTACACGCGGTCCACTTCACTTATCAGAGCCCTTGCACAGAGATCACAGCTATTTCCGCTTCCCTCTCTGACAAATCCAGCCTCCCCACCCTCTCTGGTTCCTATGTCCAGTGACTCACTAAACTGTGTGCTTTGTCACTTTTTCCTTGGGAGCTGGACATGACAGACAGGATAAGAGAAGTGGCTGCCAAAGGCCTTTTCTTGAAGTGGCCGTGAAGCATGCAGGGAGGTGTGGCCTCGTCTTCCAGGTGGCAAGACTCACAGAACCAGCTGGCCCCACACAGTGTGGCTGCAGGATGACAATAGTGGGTGGAAGCCGAGTGCTTCCCTCCTCCACACAGAAGGCTAAAGCGGATTGGTTCACATGCTCCCACTTCTGTTCTGAGAACTGCCTCTCCTCCTTGCTTTGTGGCCATGTGGGACTGTGTCTCAGGCTGTGCATCCTTGGAAGGCGGGGTGTCACAGAGGCCCAACAGAGGTGAATCAACAGGAGACGTGTTCCACAAACAAAAATGAGAAGAGGAACACCGAGCTACACTGCAGTTCCCTATTCACCAACGTGTGGCTCCACCCAAACCACCTCCATCTTGGGACACTGCGGCCACCGCCACAGCCCTCCCCACATGGTAATCTCCACAGCGGGACATCTGACAGTGCCAGGAGGCAGCTGCTTGTTGCAGCACTGCACACCACACTGCTACATCACCAAACAGGCCACCCAATACCACCCTACCATCCATCCTTCCAGCCTCATCTCTGCAAACTGTGGCCTCCACCATGGGACACCTCCACCGCCATCTTGAGTTACCTCTGCTACTGCCTCTGCCATCTACATCTGGGGCAGCTTCCACTTTGGGACACGGACTGGGGCCTGGAAGCCCAAAATCAAGCCCCCAAAAAGGCTTGACACTACTGCCACCACTAATAAAGGACACAGCCACTTCCATCTAGGGACAACAGCCAGGACCTGGAAAACCATCACCAAGGTCCCGGTGGGCCTGGTTGCACCAGAGGTGCCTCCTCTAGGTGAGCTCACAGTCACCATCCTGTTGAGAGGCAATAGGGAGCCTTGCATGGAGTTGCCTCTTTCTTTTTTCTCCTGCTAACAGACAAATTATTTTGATTACCCTTTCACTAGTCCTATATTCTAACACTTGTGTATTCTCACATCCCATCTCATAAACATCACATTCTACCCCCTGCCACTCTGTCACCAGTAGAAACTGTAAATCCTTACGCAAACCTACTGGCTACATGGTAGAAGATTACACAACTGATCATTTCTATTTATAATGACAAAACTGTAAATGTCAAAATAGAAGCTAATTGATTTATGGCTGCATATTGGTTGCATTGGATGCTATAAACATTGATATCCCTCTTAAGGGTGAGATATTGGTAACCTGCAGGGACACCATAAGATTATGGGGTAGAAGCTTCAATACCTCAGATCTGCACTGCAAAAGAGGAAGACACATAGACAACATGAAAAAACAAGGGAGGAAAGTGCCCCAACAAATCAAGATACGACAATAGAATCCATTGAAAGTGCAGTAGATGAAATGTCAGAGAAGGAGTTCAGAAGGTTCATAATTAAAATGATCTGCAAATTAAAGAATGACCTAAGTAAGCAAATATAGGCAAAATTGATTACTCTAAAAAAGAGATAAGAGAGCAAAATACAGGCAACCATTGAAAACACCATCAAAGAGATATGAGACTAAATACAGGTAGCAAAAGATAACTTCAAGAAAGAGATTCTAGAAAAAAAAAACCAGAAATCCTTGAAATGAAGAAAACAATAAACCAAATAAAAAACTCAATAGGAAGCATCACCAACAGATTAGATCACTTGGAAGACAGAACCCCAGGCAATGAAGACAAAATATACAATCTTGAAAATAAAGTTGACCACACAGTGAAGATGGTGAGAAACCATAAACAGAACATCCAAGAATTATGGGATAACATCAAAAGACCAGATCTAAGATTTATGGGGATAGAAGAAGGCACAGAGATTCAAACCATAGGAATGCACAATCTCTTCAATGAAATAATATCAGGAAATTTCCTAAACATAAAGAAGGAATTGGAAAATCAAGTACAAGAGACTTACAGGACACCAAATGTACAAAATTACAACAGATCCACACCCAGACACATTATAATGAAAATGCCTAGCATACAGAATAAGGATAGAATCTTAAAAGCTGCAAGAGAGAGGAACCAGATCACATATAGGGGGAGACCAATTCAGATCTCAGCAGTTTCAGCCCAGAACCTCAAAGTAGCAGGAGATCCTAGAAAAACATACACCAAGCTCTGAAAGAAAAATGGATGCCAACCAAGAATCTTATATCCAGCAAAATTAAGCTTGAGATATAAAAACCTTCCATGATAAACAAAAGTCAAAAGGATTTACAGCAAGAAAGCCTGCACTACAGAACATTCTTGGCAAAATATTCCATGAGGAGGAAATGAAAAACAACAACGAAAATCTACGGAGGGAGGAACTACACTAAAGGAAAGGCTAATCAAAGGAGAAACCAAGTCAAGTTAAAAACCAAAAATAGGGCTGGGGCTGGGGCTCAGTGGTAGAGCAGCTGCCTAGCACTTTTAAAGCACTGGGTTCAATCCTCAGCACCACATAAAATAAATAAATAAAGGTATTGTGTCCATCTACAAGTAAAACAACATTTAAAAAACAAAAAATAAACCAAATG